ACACTGGCCCACCCGCTCTGATCAAGAACGGAAGGCTCAAGAAAATTCACAATCTACACACAGAGTTTGTCATAGGTCTAGCGTGGAGTCTTTATCACCCTGGACTGATCGCCACGTCCAGTTGGGACCAACAGATTCATATTTGGCCAGCTTGATAATTTGAATGTAGAATATGACTCTGAAAGCTTTGATATGCATATATAACGGACAATTGTAACATTTTACACTTGGTATTTCTTAAACTCATCTTTGCTCAATTTCAGATATGATAACTTTGTATCAGTGATGTAGGCTTATTTCAACCAGCGCATTCCTTTTAAAGTTGGGCAGCAAAACTCTTTCTCACTTGAATAACAAGTTAGTTTGGATCATGTGAATTTTTTATCATGCTCCCTGTGACATAGGAGACCATTGACTATGTAGATGACTATGTAATTACTCAACGCTCTGACAATTACATTTGAAAACCGAGACCAAGATTTCAGAGTTCTATTGGATCCTCAAAACCTGCAGCAGACTTCAAGCTTTAGTATTAAAAATGGATATTTTGGTGATTTTATTGTCATTACATTTGTTGGTAATTTGATAGGGGTTATGGCTCATCAGCATATCAAGAGAGTAGGAAGTGATGAGCTGCAGTACCGATTTGAGCTCGACTCAAACCTTAACAGATGAGCATATAATTCTCAATCAAGCGTGGTGAATAAGATGGAACACTGAGGCTATTCCGGTATGTTACTGTGTCTTTAGCTTTGCCACATTGGGGTGACAACTATACTCTTGCGCGTCATTCACTGCTTACATTGATAAGCTCTATAGGCACGTGAAAATTGGAGCTTGTATCGGTTGCCAAGTATTTTACAGCTCAAATACAGCTCAAGGATAGCACAGCTGAGCTTCATCTTATAGAGCAGATGCCAAAGAATGCCATCAAACCGCCATTGCCAAAAACAAAAAGATTGTACCGTACAAAAATTAATGAAGTGATAAAGGAATGGTAGAGCAGGTGTTATGGGATGCTATTAAATTGCGAAAAATAACTCGTATTATTAATGTGATATATAAAAATAAATGAAATGAATGAGATGAATCGATGAATCGATGAATTCATTGAACGTCTGAGAAACAACACCAATGAAGTCACACAGAGGTTTCAAGGTCCGAGCAACCCCACATGACCTCAGAAACGGTGATGAGGACATCAAACAAGATACCAGAACTACCTCAAATTTTCCGATGAAACCCCTTGATTATTATACTCGGAGTTTTCCAGCGGACAGCGGGGATTCATAGTTTCTAAGTTTTATTGTGGGCATAGCGCGGTGTCGACAAAGGATTGGCTTAGATTTTCCGCCAAGGAGTCCAGTGTCCACTGGTATCATCTCCGCCGAAAGCTGGTGCCATGCTCGTACCCGGGCCAGATCTACGAAAGAAGTATGGTGAGATTGAAAGGATGGTTTCAATTTCTCGATTTTAATCAAAGGGACATACCCGCTTGCACCTTTGCTAGACCCACCTGTTTTATTGTGCGGTCCAGTTAAATTGGTGGGTCTGTGGCAGAGGGTTTGAAAGATGAGTGATTGCTACAAGTGATAGTGATTACTTTTCAGTAAAAGGAACGTACGGGCTTGAATTATTGTGAGGCTTCCCAGCTCCGTCAGGAGATCTATGAGACAGGGTTTGGTCAAAATGCCCATGGATCAGTATCTCGTAGTAGTTTGGGTTTTCTTGTCAAATGAATGAACGTACGGTTGGCACGCAGAAGAATATCCCGAATTATTGTGAGGATACGTTGATGCGATTGTGACTAAAAAAGAATTGTGCAAAAGCATATCAGCAGCGATAGCGAAAGAGTGATTGAGGACATTGAGATGTGATACATACCAAACAGGAACAAGAGGATCACCACACCCGTGCTTTCGATGCTGAGGAAAGATAGCATGATGATTTGATCTGATTATAC